CTGCATCGATCAAATCTTGTCTGGAATCCTGCAACGGAAACACACGCTAAGACTGCTGCCTGCAACCCTGCGGGAGCAGAACTGGAACTACAAATCCAAGTTGCCTTCGGTGTTAATTAGTCTCACAATGGAACTCGACATAGCTTGTGGCTTTCTGCCTGGCCTTGGCTGGAGCGCGGGATGGTGCCACGCCAGCTGCAGCGGCCTTTGAAGCAACCGGAGCAGCTTTGACTGGAGTTGTGCTGGGAGGTGGCTGCTGTTGCTGCTGCTGCTGCAGTGCTCGCAGCTCGCTGTTTGAGCAGTAGCAGCCCTCGTCAGAGGAGTCATTTACCAGCTGTACGAACTCTTCCAATTTAATCCCTTTCGCACTTCCCCTGTCTCGGCAAAGCAATGCAAACTCCTCCTGCCACTCGTGGTCACTGCCGCTGAATCCAGTCTGCTCTGCGAACGGCCGCATGTCTGCGGCCGTGAGATACCCTTTGCGTGTCTTGTCCAAAGAGCTGAAGACAGCCTCGATCAAGTCTCGTCTTGGATCCTGCGAGACAAGAACTGGAACTAGACCATTTTCGAATGCACCCTCTCCTTCAAACCTAAGTTGCTTAAGTTGCCTGCGGTGTGAACTAGTTTCAGAATGGAACTCGATATCAGCTTGTGGCTTTCTGCCTGGCCTTGGCTGGAGCGCGGGATGGTGCCACGCCAGCTGCAGCGGCCGTTGCAGCAACCGGAGCAGCTTTGGCTGGAGTTGTGCTGGGCGGTGGCTGCTGTTGCTGCTGCTGCTGCTGTAGCAGTGCTCGCAGCTCGCTGTCTGAGCAGTAGCAGCCCTCGTCAGAGGAGTCATTTACCAGCTGTACAAACTCTTCCAATTTAATCCCTTTCGCACTTCCCCGGTCTCGGCAAAGCAATGCAAACTCCGCCTGCCACTCGTGGTCGCTGCCGCTGAAGCCAGTCTGCTCTGCGAACGGCCGCATGTCCGCGGCCGTGAGATGGCCCTTGCTTGTTTTGTCTAAAGAACTGAAGACAGCCTCGATCAAGTCTCGTCTTGGATCCTGCGAGACAAGAACAGGGATTAGACTATTTTCGAATGCACCCTCTCCTTCAAACCTACATTACTTAAGTTGCCTGCGGTGTAAACTAGTCTCAGAATGGAGCTCGACATCAGCTTGTGGCTTTCTGCCTGGCCTTGGCCGGAGCGCGGGATGGTGCCACGCCGGCTGCAGCGGCCTTTGCAGCAACCGGAGCAGCTTTGGCTGGAGTTGTGCTGGGCGGTGGCTGCTGCTGCTGCTGCTGCAGCAGTGCTCGCAGCTCGCTGTCTGAGCAGTAGCAGCCCTCGTCAGAGGAGTCATTTACCAGCTGTACGAACTCTTCCAATTTAATCCCTTTCGCACTTCCCCGGTCTCGGCAAAGCAATGCAAACTCCTCCTGCCACTCGTGGTCGCTGCCGCTGAATCCAGTCTGCTCTGCGAACGGCCGCATGTCCGCGGCCGTGAGATGGCCCTTGCTTGTTTTGTCCAAAGAACTGAAGACAGCCTCGATCAAGTCTCGTCTTGGATCCTGCGAGACAAGAACAGGGATTAGACTATTTTCGAATGCACCCTCTCCTTCAAACCTACATTACTTAAGTTGCCTTCGGTGTTAATTAGTCT